TTTATTTGTTATCACTTGGTAATTGTTTTCTATAATCTGTGATAATGAATTTATTTGACTTTAAATTGTTCGCAATCTTCATTGGTAAATAATCTTTTAAATTGTTGTTTGACTATCTTTCTAATCTGTTCTAGCAAATAAGTTGATAATTTAATATTTGACTACATCTAGATCTGTGTTAGAAAATAAGCTCATAATTTACTGTTTGACTCTCCTTCTAACCTGTTCTAGCAAATAAGTTGATAATCTAATATTTGACTATTATCCAGATCTGTGCTAGCCAATAAGCTGAAAATTTATGGTTAGACTCTTTTCTAATCTGTGCTAGCTACAAATAAGTTGATAATTTACTGGTTGACTCTCTTTCTAATCTGTGTTGGCTACAAATAAGCTGATAATTGCTTGACTACATCTAGTAGGTGTTAGAAAATAAGCTGATTATTTACTATTTGACTCTCATCCAGAATTGTGTTAATAAATAAGTTGATAATTTACTGTTTAACTCTCTTTCTAATCTGTGCTGGTTACACATAAGCTGATAATTGATTGTGTGACTATCATCCAGAACTGTGCTAGAAAATAAGCTTATAATTTAATATGTAAGCAAATAAGTTGATTATTTGCTATTTGACTCCCTTTCTAATCTATTCTAGCAAATAAGCTGATAATTTACCATTTGACTGTTCCTGATCTGTATTATTTCAAATAAGCTGATAATCTACTGTTTGACTCTGTTCAGGATTTGTATTAGTAAATAAGCTGATAATTAAATGTTTGACTGTTTCAGATCTGTGTTAGAAAATAAGCTGATAATTAAATGTCTGACTCTGTTTCAGAACTGTGTTAGTAAATAAGGTGATAGTGTAAAGTTTGACTTTGTTCCTGATCTGCCTTATTTTAATTAACCAATACTTTACTGTTTGTGTCTGTTCCTGAACTGTATTATTTCAAATAAGCTGATAATCTACTGTTTGACTCTGTTCAGGATTTGTATTAGTAAATAAGCTGATAATTAAATGTTTGACTCTGTTTCAGATCTGTGTTAGAAAATAAGCTGATAATTAAATGTCTGACTCTGTTTCAGAACTGTGTTAGTAAATAAGGTGATAGTGTAAAGTTTGACTTTGTTCCTGATCTGCCTTATTTTAATTAACCCAATACTTCACTGTTTGTGTCTGTTCCTGAACTGTGCTATCAAATAAGCTGATAATTTACTGTTTGACTGTTCCTGATCTGTATTATTTCAAATAAGCTGATGATTTACTGTTTGACTTCATCACTAATCTATTTCAGTAAATAAGGTGCTAAGTAATTACATTACTGACTTATTGTTATTTTGAAATTGATTTTTCCGGTGACTGTCACATTACTCAGACAAAGATAAAGTAACAAATAAATTTTGATACACATAACACATACATCATACATATTCTACCAACGTGATATCAAATGTCTCGGAAAATCTTCGTAAAACTACTCCAGCCTCTGTATACTTACATTCATTTGGAGAACAATATCATCCTGCGACTTTCTTAGTCAGCCAGATCCACAGGTTTATGTGAAAGATCATTAAACCAGACACTATAAATCCTTAGCTTACATGCTTACTGAGCCACACTTTTTAGAAACATATGAAACACACTGTCTGGTCAGTTGATGGTCAGTTGATGGTCAGATCTCTTGGTTTCCTTAATTTGATACTTGTTATAGTTTAATAATTTTGAATATGATATAATTTTTTCATAGCTTATGGAAAATTGAATAATATACGTTGTGATCTTGTTATTTTTTCCTATCAGGATGAATATTTTTTTGACATTTTCTTTTTTTGGAAAGGATTAAATTTGTCCAGAAAATGGTATGAGTAGGCTGTGATTATTCCAGATTGGACAAAGTTCTGATACTATTCTAGACCAAGATAACCTGGGAGGAAATATTAATGGCAAGCACTGGTAGCTGTGTAGTGAGCTTCGCTATCCTGACCAGCCCTTTAATCCAGTGTTTGCTACCACTGTCGCCCAGGCTTTTACGAGGCACTACTCTCTGGTATTCCTGTTCTGTTCAGTATGGCAATGTGGTCACACTGATGACTGCATGCCACAAGTGTTACTAGGGATGTGATTCCATACTCGGCTGTCATTGGTGATCATACTGCTTCCCTAGCAACCATTGGTTAAGCAGTGGTGTGTGTGATATTGAACATTGTAGTACAAACGTTAAGCTGACTGGTGTTGCTGCTCTTTACGCATTGTTTAACACAACAGTGGAAGAGCGACACATACAATTTCAGCCTTTGTAAAAGGTTTAACAGATCCTACAGACAAATTAGGAGTTTTCTACCCATAAGCACTTAATTATACGTGCATAGTTCTAGATATCTAACCAGATTTCTGTAAAGTTTCATCAAGACAACAACCTTAACACAAATGTTATTTCCTCAATGTTTCTAACTGTTTGACCTTTTCTGTATTTGATATTACAAGTGATAAGCTACTTTGCCTTTGTTTTGATATTATCTGAATCATGCCATCAGTTTTCCATTCCTTTTTTCTTTATCAGTATCTTGTTAGCCATTTTGTTTTAATGGAGACAGGGTGATGCAGTTATTATGGAGTTATTCAGATTATTTGAAGGAGAGGATGGGTGAAGCTAAGGATTGGGAAAGCAGAATTTGAGTGAAGTCCTACATTGCTTGCAGTTTTACATGTAAGTAAAATAGGGAAAAGAATCAAAAGCAGTTGACTACAAAAGCAGACTGATGGGCTTGTATTTATCTTTTTCTGAAGCTGTTTCCTCTGTCCGTGAGTAATGATAAAACCTACGCTGTATGATTCAGAAACAGTTACACTTCCATAAGATAGATCTCTGATAACGCTACACAAGACAACAGATCAGTCCCTGTCAGGCTTGATCTATATATCTATCTTCTGAATTTTCTCCGCATGTATGATTCACAATCAATGACAGGTTTTTGCCTGGAACACCTGATATATCGTTGTCATATGTTCTTAACTATAGATGAACACTTTGAAATCTTTTGGTGTATAAGTAAACCGTTACAGATTTGTAATCACTGCAGATACATCATATGTTAGGAATTTTATAACAGGAACAATTGAACGGTTGACAAATTTTTATCATTTCTATTTTAAAATGACAGAACATTAATGTTTCTCAGCAGTCATTGCCAGGAAACATGCATCATGTTGTCAATGCTGATGACCAAAATTATAATCCGACACAATTTATTCAAAATTTACCTGTTAAGAATCATGGAATTCATTCTTCATACAGGAGTAATGGGTTGCCCCTGTGGAAATATATCAAGGATTGACTGTAAATTGTTGATAAAACTGTACAAAATTTTTTAAGTTATGATTTTTTTCTAGCTGACTAAACAATAATCAACAACATTTTTGCTGGATCCATGTCCATAACTTGCTGCTTCACCAACATTTATGTTCAGTTTTTTGCTTTACTTACTACAGTGCAAAAGGTGGAGCATTAGATGCTAGGTATTGAACTTTATTTTCCATTTATACAGAGTTATTGCCCTTTGTGTATTGATACCAAAGTGTGTCTAGGACCTAACTTCCATGCCATTTCACTTAACATATCTTCTCCGAACACACTCTACCAATACATGTTAAAGTCTGACGGAATAAAGTAAATGCTGAATTAGATTATCATTTGCCAATTTTTTTACTGTTTAGTCGATATTTCCATCTTTCTGTCAATATAGCTGTCTGCCTGCAGACTTTATCTATTATCTTCCAATCACTGACTGTAAATCATTGTGTCTACATTTGGTGTTATGGACACTTCGTTCCAGTGCCATAGGTATTTACATTTTATTATATCCTCTTTGAATGATGGAAGCCCTCTTGTTCATTGCATGGCAACCAGTTAAAGAATTTAAAAATATTATGTCAATTTGAAATTTAGCAGGAAAATGAAAAATCAGCTGTAAAGAAATGAAAACAATAAATGGGAAATATTGTTTACGTACAAAACTTGAAACAATAATTGAATTTCAAATACTTCAATTGATAAAAGGATAAAAAGGAATGTTTTTCTGTTTTCAAACTCGGTGTGCTACAGCCACAATCTCATTGATCTGACATCCTAATTATACCTACTAAAGTTTTAGAAGCGTAAGATAAAATTGAGAAGCAATTAATCAATATTAAAGTTCATATTTTATACTGGATGTGGTTGTGTTGAAAGAGAGTGTCTAGATATTACAGAAAAACTACAACAGGTACTTGTTTTTGACAGATCAACACTGTAAATTAAAGCAATATTACTGATATTGGAAGAGATTTGAAAACAGACTAAATTTGAAAATATGTTTATAGTTGAGGTTTATAGTCAATTGAACTGATATTTGCATTAAGTAAGTGATTATGGTATGTCTGTCAGGATTTTTAACATTAGACATAATATTTCAGAAGTGGATGAAAGATATGATTGGAAATGTGAAAGTTTTAACTGATTGATTCACTGTCTTGGTAATGATGTTACAGGCTGGATTTGCATGTTTCTATACCATTATCTCCAGTTTGTTGTTGTTGTAATGTCAGTTACTGTTATATAGTTTTATAAGTCTTGTATCTTTCGGGACCTGAAACTCGGAAGTCGTAATTCTATAGTATCATTACAGAGCAATTCATTAACAGAGATGTCACTGTTTAAGATTCAAAGCCTGCTGTTTCAACAGGATGAAAACAAAAACTTTGATATCAAATTGTGAGTAACATCATCAGTAGTTCATAGAAATTCATGACATAGATTTATTACACTTCTCATTAAGTTGAAATGATTGGCATTAAATCCCATACAGTTTTGTTACCAAAAAGATTTATATATCAACTGTTGATTTTAAAAGGTTTCTTTGAAGTGTTTGTCGACAGGTGATATGTAGGATTTCAAAACTAAATGGGTTAAGAAAAAAAATATAGCTAAAGGAAAAAAAAATTATAGCTATCAAGTGTTGCCCTCTAAAAGCCTGTTGTATTGCCCACTGAGATCCTCTTGTGTTGACCAGTGGAATCCTGTTGTATTGCCCTCTGAGATCCTGCTGTGTTGACCAGTGGAATCCTGTTGTATTGCCCACTGAGATCCAGCTGTGTTGACCAATGGAATCCTGTTGTATTGCCCACTGAGATCCTGCTGTGTTGATTGATGAAAGCCTGTTGTATTGCCCACTGAGATCCAGCTGTGTTGACTAGTGGAAGCCTGTTGTATTGCCCACTGAGATCCAGCTGTGTTGATTGATGAAAACCTGTTGTATTGCCCACTGAGATCCAGCTGTGTTGATTGATGAAAACCTGTTGTATTGCCCTCTGAGATCCTGCAACAGTGGAAGAGATCCAGCTGTGTTGACTAGTGGAAGCCTGTTGTATTGCCCACTGAGATCCAGCTGTGTTGACTAGTGGAAGCCTGTTGTATTGCCCACTGAGATCCAGCTGTGTTGATTGATGAAAACCTGTTGTATTGCCCACTGAGATCCAGCTGTGTTGATTGATGAAAACCTGTTGTATTGCCCACTGAGATCCAGCTGTGTTGATTGATGAAAACCTGTTGTATTGCCCACTGAGATCCAGCTGTGTTGATTGATGAAAACCTGTTGTATTGCCCACTGAGATCCTGCAGTGTTGACCAGTGGAAGCCTGTTGTATTGCCCACTGAGATCCTACTGTGTTGATTGATGAAAACCTGTTGTATTGCCCACTGAGATCCAGCTGTGTTGATTGATGAAATTCTGTTGTATTGCCCACTGAGATCCTACAGAGCTGTTCACTGGAAGTCTGCTAAATGGCTCATTTGAATTTTTAATTCACAGAAAACCTGTTTAATTCTGGCTTAAATCCTGCTTTAATTACTAATAATTTACTTCTGTTAAGATTACAGCAGTGATTCAGTAGTGCAAAATGCCTGTTAAAAGCCTGCTACCAATTCTGCTAAATTCCCGCTAAAACCCTACTCAGTTCCTGCTATAACTCGACCTTAGTTGATATCTGAACCATTCACAACACATGATTGCCTTGTTACTTTAAAAATTCTAGACTTATGATGTCATACAAAAATCTTATCAAGATAAATGAGACTACATATTCTTAATAGAAACACAATGAAGTTGAGTAATAAAGATATCAGATGCTCCTAGTCCCTTATAGCTCATCATTTGCAAATTTAAAGTCAATTCTAGATCAGCATTCACAGAATCATGTATTCATGAATATGTCTAAAGGGGTAATTTCACAAAAATTAGGCAGTCGCAAAATTGAGGTGATTTACAGTATAATATTTCTAAAAAGATATTGAATGTTTAAAGCAATTAAGAGAGGCATTTTAATGACTATACTTTCACAAAGCAAAAGAACATGAGATAAATGTGTGCTATATACTATAATTGGAATCTGTGCTAATTGATGTTTACTGAAAGCTGGTTGATAAAAACCAAAGTCAATTAGATGTGTGATTTTTTGGCAGTGACCAAGTTATCAGGACACTGGGCACAGGTCTGGAGACCTTTAACATGTTTATGTCCACGGCAGCAGAATGGTAGAGTGGATAAGTGGAGGCCTCTCAACATTCTGGAGTTGTTTATATTGTATTCTACAGTGCATTTGCCCCACAGCCATCTGATGTTGGCCAAAGCAGCAGCTATTTGTCATGAAGCAATGTCATGGCCTTGTATGACAATGAGGTGTACTTGTCTCAGCAACTGTTAATTCGCTGGAATCTCATCAGGTTTTATTAGATATTTATGAAAATTCAGAGTAATTACTCCCATTTCGAGATTTTACGATATTGGTCAAATCATGGGGAATAACTCCATACACGAATTATTGTTAGATGGTATTGTGGACGATCAAAAGGATGTTATATTTTTGTGGCCCCACCATGAAACGGCCAGATCTGATATAGTGTTACCCATGACTGTCGATACATCAGAAAATGGTTACCGTTCATTTACTTTTAATATATATAGATTTGAACAGCTATTTATTATAGCTTGATAAAGATAAGATGCAGAGGTCAAGATTCAATTTTTAATAAAAAACATGACCAAATTGTAGAACCTTGTCTAAACTCTATCGGGAATTCAAAAACGGGTGAAAAAAAGGAGAAAAAAAAACAGGAAAATGATTTCATTAAAGACAGAAGTAGTGACACTTGCCAACTATCTTTACCTCAGATGGAGGTTCCTAAATAGACATAGGATTTGTATCACTATATAATTCATGATTAATTCATGAAAAGTATGAAGATTTTGTCATTGTAACATATTATTTCTAATTTTGAAATCTACATTTCAAATTTGCATAATCTGTTCCAAATTGAGAATTCTTTTCAATTAGCAAATATTTACTGTTCTGCATGAAGATACACTTTTGATGATGTAGGAGTGTGAAAGGAAGATAACTCACCAAGCAAATTGTATGTTAAAAGAGAGTGGGATTAAGGGGAGGTAATGACTGATCACAGGAGAAGACATTTGATTGATGGTAGGGAATTGCGACATATGCAGCACTGTGAATTCCCATAGGAAAACTTACTGGTATACCACTACTGTTACAACAAATAATGACTCAATTACTCACTTTGTGTGTTGGGTGTAGATACATATATGATACTTTTCATGTTTAATGCTGTAAATTAGCTCCATCGTTATTTCTATTTCTGGATAAACTCATTCACCTGATGGCTCTTCATTGGCTAAAACATATGTGTTCTATTGTGACCACAGATCTAGGTCTTCTACCCTACATTTCTCAAGAGAACAAACAGCTAACCTCCTTGTCTATATTGAGAAATTGGAACACTTATAAATAGGCCCTCCTAGTATATCATCATTTTTCTTGTGTAAAGACCTTTGATAACCATGACAGACAGATTTTTTTTTGTCTCGCTGGAATCAATGACTCCTGACTGTTTGATTGGGTGGTAGACAGAACTATAGTCACTCATTATCTTTGGCCCTTAATATCAACTCTCTCCATTATTTGTGTCTATATGATGTTGATATTCTCTGCGTGACTTCTCTTATATTATGATGTCTCTATTCCTTGTCATGCACTGGTTAACAGATGATATCATTTACTTTCCATTCTTCATGCTTGATCAAATAAGAAAATCTTTTATAAATGTCAAATACATCTCTAAGCCATTGTGTCTGGATGAGTAGTGAAAGCTATGATATTCAAACTGATTGAAGTTTGCATGTTTTATAGATAATTATATCACTGATAGTTTCTACATATTTTTTTTTTTTTTTGTGTATTTGAATTACAAATGTATGTGATAAAATATCCTGGTGATACAGATATTTTCTTAAATTAAATAACTAAATTTTCAATTAAAAATATTTTGATGAATTTCATATCAAAATTATCATTGTGTAAAATGCTACATTCCAGATGTCAATCAAGGTTTTTTTTATGTTTTTTTTTACACTAAGATTTATTGTGTTCTTCATACATAGTCAAAAGTTAACACAAGGTCTTCTGGCCAATCTGTTTTTTTTTTTCAGCCGTACATGGTCCTATCATTGAAACAATTAATATTGATCAATGTTTGACCCTGCATATCATGGTTGAAATCTGTTTTAATTTTCTAAATGCTTCATCTTCTGAGTTTTATTTTTTACAGCTTAAATTCCTTCCTTCTTGACAACATTTTCCTTTCACAGAGATTTTGGCAGTTATATATGTTCTAACTCCAGTGATATAAGGGTGAGTCAGACCAGGAAGCTGAACACCATGCAGTGACCATAACATACATGTTGCAGTATAAAGGGAATTTCTCAAAGCTATGAGGTTATATGAAATATGACATTTTCCTATTTTGATATTACCACAGGGACAAGACAACAATTCAAATCGCCCCTCGTCCATGTTTCCTTATCTATCTGTAAACAGTTCTTCTTGTGGCTATTTCCCAAAAAGTACTGACGAATCTTTCTAAAATTTCATTAGTATTTTTCCCTTGGTCCCTAACCATGTCCTTCTGATTTTGAAATTGATCAGAAAAACGAATTGGCTGACAGGCAGCCTCATTGATTTGATAATTCTAAGTTATTATCACTTTTTCTGAAGAAATTTAATTTCATAAACGTGATAAGGAGCAGGAGCTGAGGAAGACAGAATGACAAGAAGGAAGAAATAAAAGTCATAAAATGGCGGGCTCTAAGATTCCAGTCTAGGATGTATTACTTCCTTGTGCAAAATTCTAGACAGTAGATGTCTTAAAACATATGTAAATGTCATCACATCAGTTCCTTTTACACTCATTGTGGCTATATATTGCACAGACTTCACCAGATGAAAATTGGCTTGATTATTAGTCCGTGTTGAAGGTTATGTCGCCTGTTTTGTTCTCTTTGACAGTTATGTCATTACCTCCTACCTCTTCATTTGTTTTGCTGCTGTTTCTTTGAAGTTTTAATTTTGCTTGTTCATCAGGATATTCTCACCTCTCCAAGGTTGCAGTAGATTTCTATTTCAGTGAGGTTTATTTGTTATCATTTTTGGTGTCCTTGCAGTTCTATTTATAAAAGTTTCTTGTGTAAGATATATTGTTTACTATGTTGGCATTTGTAACCGAATTTTGTTTTTCGTTTAATTTATATATGGATCATTTTAAGCTCATCTAGTCTGAAAGCTTATGCACAGTGTCCACCAAAACGAGAAAATTTGGCAATTTTTTATAAATACATACACTTCAAAAGGAATTAACAGGTTTTGTCCAAATTTGGTCTGAAGTATCCTTTGGTGAAGTGGAATCAATTTTGTTTATGAACATTAGGTCTTGGCTTCCAGGGGCAGAGCATTATGGGGCCCTATTGAGGAAACAGAGCAAATTTACTTTATAATTCTTCTTCTGTAGATATGCCTAGACTCTTTCCTACTTTGGTCTGAAGCATCCTTGGGTAAAGACAAGTCACTATTGTATGCATGGAGGATCTTGACTTTCTGAGGCAGGAGGGTTGGGACCCTAGAAGGTGAAGGAAATAGAGCAAATTTTTGTTGATATTCCTCCTTCTTCTTTAAGAATGCCTGAATTCTGTCCCAATTTTAAATGATACATCCTTTGGTGAACATTTGGTCTAATCACCCTTGGGCCAGAAAGGTGGGGACCAATTTGGGAAGTAGAACTAATTGTTCTTTAGGAATGCCAGGATTCTGTCTCAATTTGATCTGAAACATCTTTGAGTAAAGGGAAATCATTTGTATACATAGTGGGTCTCAGCTCAATAGGATTGGAGTGGCTGGGCCTAGTATCAAAAATGGAGCAAATTCTTTAAAATCCTTCTGTAGAACAAACCAGCATTCTGTCCCAGTTTGATCTGAAGCATACTTTGGTGAAGGAGTCATTTGTATGAATGGTTAGTTTGACCACCAGGGAGCAAAGGGATGAGACTGAATGAGGAAAATTGGTATAAACTTTTAGAAATCCTTTACCTTTCTTTAGTTTGGAGGAAAGTCATTTCAATGAAACAAAATGTGGTGAGTGATACAGGCTGGGTAGGCATTTGTTTATTATACCGGCTGTTATGACTTTTATGTGGAAACTAGAATATCATAATAAGCGAATTTCACTATAGTTTAAGACCTCTACTATTATGCTTGATAAGTTCTATAATATTTCATTTTATTGTGGCTAAAAATTTACTTGAATCCTAGCTTCCTGTTTATTTCATGAAATAAGAACAAAATCGCAAAATCCTGCAAAGCAACAGTTGTGGTTTTTTTTGTAATTCACAGTTATTTGCTCCAGGGGGCCAGACTTGATTGTTACATCA